AGACTGCCTGACCTCCCTCACCTCAAGGTCATCAGGTAGCAGGGCTTGTCTTCATCTTGGGGGCTGATCATGGTTGCCAGTGGTGGGTGGTTCCGGAAGGCAGTGACCCAAAAGCCTGCAATATTTTGGATGTAGCCAGCACCTCCTCCCAAACGTGCACTCAAGCCTTTGGCACACCCTGCCAGCACAGCCACTCCTGGCTTCCCGCTGCCCCTGGATGGCCTCCAATGTTTAGGCCCTTCAAGGTGCCGAGGCACTGAGTCCTCATGCACCACCTCCTCATCCCCCTTCAGTATCTCCTCCCCCTCCAGCTACTTCTCCAGCTCCAGTCTCTTCACCACTGCGGCCGGGGCGCGGCCTCCTCCATGAAGATGGCGCACTCCCCAGTCGTCACTTCCTCGGCTCCCCACTGCTATGTGCTTCAGGTTTCTGCGCCCTCATCCTTCCTACCGATTTCCACACTCGGGGCAGTGACCGCGGAGACCACTTCCTGACGTTCTAGGGACTGGTGGGACAGCCCCTGGGCTGCGTCCTCACGGAGACCAAGGGCACGCACTCCCCTCCTGCGCCAAGCCCTGCAGCTGGGCTCAGCGGTTTCCAGGCGCCCCCGCCCTTCGTGCGCCTCCGTCACCTGAGAACCGCTGTGGGGCTTGGGGGCAGCTAGATGCAGACTTCAGCACTGGGAAAGTGGGGGGATCTCTTACTTTGGGGCACGTGCTCCGCCCCTCATACACCCTCCTTCCCGGTGTGATTTGCTGGGGGCACAGCAAGGATCTAAAAAAGTTCTGGCTGAGTCGTAGATGCTCGAGGTAGTGCAGAGGAAGGAAGTGACAAGAAAGGGGGTGAGGGGGTAGAAGGGTAGGCAACTGAGAGCAGGCACATGGAACAGGCCTGATCCCTAGTCATGTCCCTCCTATCACAGCCACAAGCCCAGGAAATGTCCCTTGCCAGGCTCCCAGCTGTAAGACACTGCAGCCTTGCATAAGTTTAAGTACTCAGGCACAGGCAGGGGGCCCAAGAGGCGTCCCTCACAAGGAGTGGCCAAACTGGTAGACTCAGGTAGCATAACTGCTGGGCATATGAAATTGCTTGAAATATTTATATGGCAAAAGGGGAAGACAAGATCAGAGCAAAAGGACCTAGGGCAAGAAAGTCTTATACCACTGCAAACTAAGGAATAAGTGGGCATCTGCTTGGCTTCCAACAGCACTGGATGGCTGAAGCTGGGGACCTTGCTTTTTGCCTTGTCCTTGGCCCAGAGGCAACCCTTTGCTCAGTACTAGCCACAGTGCAGTCTGTGCTTGGGTATCTGATCTGGTGTGGTCACAACCCCAGATGTATGGTCTATGGAGGTCAGTATACCTCATACTCTCGTTTCTGCCTGGAAGCCTCCATCATTTTCTTCACAAAGCCTTCAGCCTCTTATGCTCAATGGACACAACAGCTTCTCAGCTGGAACCCTAAGACTTATCCTGGGGTATACACCATCTAAAGAGCAAACAGGCTTTCCTTTTAAGTTGCAGTTGGGGTTCTAAATGACAAGAACGACAGTGAACATTTATCAAGCAAGCAGAAAGCCAAAGAGATAAAGGTTCAGCCTGCTGCCCTTGTATACCAAACGCTTGCACATCCATACTTGTTAATGTCCTCACACATTTTGCAGCTGGACTCCAAGTTACTAGTACTCCTAGCCAGCCCATAAAAGGGTTAGCCCATAATGGAAGCATCTCAGCACAAGAGGTGGGGCCCAGGATGGAGACAACTCTCTCACTAGGGCACTGTCAAGCAATAAAGCTGGGCAAAGCCATGGCTCTCAAGTCTGTCTAAACCTAGGGGGTGGGCAATAGTGAGGGTAAAGCCAGGTCCTGGCTTTGTCACCAGCTGTACACCGTGGGCAGTGGGTGACTATAGTAGACATTTATCTTTTCTTGAAGAACCAGCATTCATGTCTCATCCTAACAGTATCCCACATTTCCACTGAGAAACCATTCCTGTGTCCCAGTCTTGTCACCATGAAAGTCAATAGGGCCTCTGTGAATAAAAGCAGAGCACTCTCTCCTAAATTCCTGAAAAAGGTTCTTTTTGGTCAGCACTGTGTGCAAAGGTCAAGTCTGGAATTACGGCATGTTCCACTCTTCCGCAAGGGGAGAACCTAGGTAGGGCATATACACGACAGAGAAACAGAAACGCTGAAGCCAACTATGTCTGAGCCTCTGGATCTAACCTTAAGATTGCATGACAGCTGGCATTTTCAGTTACATGAAATTTCCCTGTTTAAAACCAATTTCATTTTGGTTTTATCACCCTTGCATTAGAGAATAACTGACAGAATGACACATAACACTTACCTCAAAGATATCCAATTATGATCAGTCATTCGTTGCAAAGTACAAAGCTTATGTTAATATGAGCAGTTGTTCCTGTTTGCCCTATGCTCACCATCATCACCCTTAGAGGCTAAGGTGTCTATCAATTTCAGTTCTTCCCAATTCCAGGCTCATTCCAACCCTTTCCCAATCAGAGAGGTTGACAACTGCCAAACACATCATTCAGAAGTTTTTAATAAACAACTTCATTATAAAAACTTTTTTTGAAAATGTAATTCTGTAAAACATTGAAAAAATCTACCTTAACAAAGATAACGCCCTGTGCATTTTCTAATGGCACTTACATTTTACAATTAAAAACCTTGTTTTTATATAAAGCCAAAAATACTCCAAGAGGTTATTCACTGTGTTTACAAAGTGCTAGAAGATTTCTGTCTTGTATTTTTCTCTTTTTAAATAATCTGGCGTTATGAAAGTGGCCTCAAAGCCTCAGCCACTTGGAGGAAGGAAAGAGCGTGAAAAGTGGTGTTCAGGCATTCATTCTAGTGCTGAATATGCAGAGGTGGAGGAGGGAGGGGGAATCAGCTGAAACCAGAAGCAAAGAGACTGGGATGCTTCCACACCCCTCCACAGAGGCACTAGGTTATCACAGTGAACACCCCTTTCCCTCGCCACAGGCCCTACTCTCCAGTGGTGAAGGTCATGGCCAATTCCTTCCACAGCAGGTTCAGAGCTCCAGGAGAGGCCAGGGTAGGGGTCCCAGAGGAATCTGGATTTTTCTGGCCAACACCTGCCTAAGGCAAAGTTTCTTATTACATAAATATCCTTGTTAAAAAGCAAAATATTGATCCTGTACAATATTACCTGTTTTAAAAAAATCGTGCTTAAAAACAGCTCCTAGATAAGAGGAAAGATTGAGGGAGGGTGGAGAAAACAGCTATCAAAGAAGGAGGGGAGAATTTAAGGGTAACTAGGGAAAGTTTAGGGGAGTGGGGAAATTTAAACTTAGGACAATATCTATGAGCAAAAAAGTAATCACACCTGCTTCCCGGATTTCCATCAACAAATGCCATTTGCAAAAAGTTGGGGAGAAAAACTCATTGGTGAACCTTCCCCTGCCTTGACCTCTTTGATAGGGCAGAGATCTTTAGACCTGACACCCAGGCACACACAACAGCCCCTGGGTCAGGACTATACTCAGCCCTGAGCAGCTACTGTGTAGGGTGGGAGGTGCCTGCCCCTGCACAGGTCAGCTCACTGCTGACAAGAGGCTGGATCAGAGGTGCAGAAAGGAGACATTACTCCTTTTTTCTGGTCCTTAGTCTGTTCCACAAGCCATGGCCCCTGTCCTGGCAGGTGCCCCTCAGGTTCTCATGGCTTCAGTACGGATACTGAAGCATGTCTGGGTACTGAGTGTAACATAAAGCTACTCTTATCCTTTGAACAGCCTGGTCTTTCCAAAAAGGGGAGGAGCTTTTGGGGGTTGAAGTGGAGAGAGGCTTAAAAAAACAGCAGGGTGGTTATGGTCCACAAAAGGTGAAGGCAGATAATGTTCCTCTGCACCAGCAAAGTTCAGCGCAGAAGGAAAATTCCTTGTGATGGTGTGTGCTGAGAAGAGGAAAGGCAAGGCAGGAAGGAAAAAGGGAGATGGGAATGAGGGATGGCAAGGGGAAAAGACAAGGGCCAGTTACAAGATTTGAAATAGCTGTTCTGCCTGTCCTATGAGTTGTAAAGCATCCCTACAGAGGGAAGAGTTCAAGGGACAGGAAAAGGGTAGGCAGAGAAGACTCCTCTAACCACCCAGGACTTTATATTCTGTGGCCAAGGGTCCACCTACCTCTAGAAACTGAGGGTAAGGAAGACAGTGGGCAAGGGGAGAGGGTTGCTGGATCTAGCGAAGACCAGACGCAAGGAGTATGGCAACAGCAAGTCCTTTTGGATACTCACATAGTATTTCTGTAATCCAAGTCCCAATAACATGCACAGCATGCAGGTGGTGGCTGTGAAGCAGGATAGATGCTTTTCTGGGACTCACTGAAACTAATTTTTAGAAGCAAATACCTAGACTGATGTTAACATTGCCAGACATTTTTATATCTGGCTTTGCTTCTGAAAAAGTATATCAAGCTGCCTTGCCCAAATTGAAACATGGTTAATTATTTACTCTGCACTGCCTCCAATCAAGGGCCAAGGAAGCTAAATTTTAAGGCTGTCAACTCACATAAAGGTACTGGCCTGGACTAAAGCAGAATTCTAGTTCTTGACCTGCTCAGTTCCTGACGATACACAAAGACTCTAGACAGAAAGGGGCAGGAGGCCTAGTAGGAGGGTGAGGCAGTTCCTAGGTAGTTTGTCCTGAAACCCTAGTGGAGGCCAGCATGAGGCACTACCGGCAGAAGTGCCCAGAAACTGCTGGCTACATCTGTACAAGTTAACAGTAAAGAGGTAGAAGTGTGTTTCTGAATCAGAGGAGGTATCTCAAGAGGGTCCCACAATAGTGGTCCCTGAGCTGCCTCCTTCCATGCGTGGGAAGAGCCCATGTGGAACTGAGATGAAGCAAGCTTTGGGGTCTGGATGGGTACTGGGTGAGGGCCACACTGTCTGTGCCAGGGAGCCCTGCAAGTGAACAGAATGAACCTCCTCTTGAAAAAAAAAAAAAAAAAAAAAAAAAAAAAAAAAAAAAAAAACACTTTATGTTAGATAGTAAGGGCAAAACCGAGGGAGAGCATGAGGTGAAAGTTCCTTGATGGACAGCACAGAAGCCTATACACAGTGGCCCTGCATCCATGGGGACTGTAAAGTGGAGATGAAGGGACACTGTGGGTTAGAAAATTTTTGGTATGGGAGACAATGATTAGATTGATTAGGACTCAACTATCTGCCCAGTCCTAGCTTTCAGAAAACTTCTAACAATTTCACAACTTCCTGAAAAGGGGGCAGGCAGCAGGGAGACAGAGGAGCTCATTCCCTCTCCTTTGCTATTTCCACCTGCCTAGAACCCCAAAGTCCCTCCTTCCAAGATAAATAACAGCTCATAATATTCTGAGTGGGAATTACGGAACAGGGAGGTGACAGATATATGCATGCCTTTCATTTCTTCCCTTCTCCAGTTCAGAAGGGTGATGAGGGGGTCATGATGGACTTGGAGAAAAACAGACCTGTGAGAAAGCTGCTCCAATCTTCTTGCCTGTCTCCGGTGGACACTGCCGAGAAAGGCAGGAATAGATGCAGTCATGGAAGAAACTGAAGCAGTCCAAAAGTCAGTTTATTTCCCCACGGGGGAAAAATGTGACCTCAAGTGAAGAGAAGTCAGCAAGACCTGACTCCGCCTTGTAAACAGGGCTCCAGTTAACACCAGGTACCAAGTGGTTCCGGCTGGTGCCAACTGAAATGGACTGGTGGGAATGGATTCACGGTGTGTAAACAGTGTTCACTGCAATCACTCTAAGGCTAACTGCGTGGCAAGGGAGGTGAAATGATGTGTCTGAGACGAATGGACAAATGTGTAAACGGTACCGTTGCTGCACAACACTGACTGGAAACAGAGCTGTTGGTATCATGGGGATGGGAGTGGTCAGGAAGAATAGAAGCCTTCTCTCCTGCCTGCTGCTTGGAAGCAGGTAATGGAGCCAAGTGACCTTCCACAGCAGGGCCTGACCAACTAACTGCCATGGGGTCTGAAGGTTGAGACAGACAGCAGGCTTCTTCTGCAATTTATCTTGAGGTCATCCAAGGTGTACCCTCTGTGTCTCCAAGAGGCCTCCCTCTCCTCCAAAGAGGAGGTTCTGATTCTTTGGAGAAGGAGAAGGCTAAGTGTGGCTTCCAATTCAGATAAAAAATAAAAGTAAAAATACCTGAAAGTCCTATGGTAGATCTTTCCACGGTGCTGGGGCTCAAGGTTCCCCTGGAATCAATCCTGGAACCTGAACCCTCAAACCAAGTGCTCCATACAGACAGTGGAATTTTTGCTTTTTGAACCCAGCTCTGAAAGCTCAGCTGCCTTTGTGGGGGAGGTGGATAGGGAGGATACTCAGGCTCCATGATAGAGCCAAAGACTGCACTGAGGGCGCCATGGGGGCTATTGGAATGCTTGGTGGAAACGAGGCAGGGTGGTAGTACTCAGGCCAGAAGTGAAGACAGGAGGCAAAGAGTGCAGAGGCCCAAAGTTCAGTGGTCCCCCAGCTCCTGGGGAATCTTGAGGCTGAGCTTGCAGAGTGGTGAGCAGGGGCTGTGCCTCAGCCTGGGAATAGCCCATAACCAGGCCTCCTGTGGTCCCGGGTGGGTTACATGGGGGCAGATTGAGTGGAAGAAAGCCCAGTAGGTGGGAAAAGTCCACATTAGCAGCGCAGAGGGCCTCAGAGAGATTGGCGGGGCTCTTGGTGAGCAGTGCTTCATCTAGGAGGGCTGCAGCTGCTGCTGGCTGAGGTGAGGTGGGCTGGGGTTCAGCGGACGAGAGAGACAGGCTCCCAGGAAGCTCTGCCAGAAAACTATCCACCTCCACTTTGGGCAATTTGTCAGGCAAGTATGAGGTAGATCCAAGCTGGTATTTTGGAGGGAGCTGAGGTGGGGAAGAGATAGGTGAGGATTCCAGAGGGTAGCTCATACCCATGGGCAGCGTATTATGTACCAGGGAGTGTGGCACGCCAGTGCTGGGCATGGTAGGGATGTGGGCACCATACATGCCCATGGGCAGCATGCCAGGAAAAGCCTTGGCCCCCATCACGTCCCGAGAGGCCATGCACAGCACAGGGCTCAGTTCTTCCTTCACGCTGACTGTGGAGCTGCAGCTGAGTAGGCCTAACATGTCCACTGGCTCTGTCTTGATCTTGAGCAGCTCTTGAGAGTGGCTCTTCTTAACATGACGTGTCAGGTGGTCTTTGCGGCCAAATCGCTGGGCACAGTATTGGCACAGAAAGTCCTTTCGGCCTGTGTGCACCACCAGATGCCGCCGTACATCTTTGCGAGTATAGAACCGCCGGTCACAGTGGTCACAAGGGTGTTTCTTCTCCTTGGCACCACCTGCTACCCGGCGTGAGTGGGCTTTCAGGTGCTCTAGCAAGGCCTGGGTACTCTCAAAGGTCTGCAGGCACACCTTGCAGCTGAGGTCACCGCTGCTGGCAGCATGCATAGCCAGATGGCGACGGTAGCCCAGTTTTGTGTTATAATTCTTACCACACTCGGAGCAGTGGAGGGCCTCTTTGTTGGGGTCATGGGTCTGCAAGTGGTTGCGCAGATGGTCCTTGCGGTGAAACATCTTATCACAATACATGCACTGGTGGGGTTTCTGGGCCGAATGGGTGGCCATGTGCCTGGTGTCAGTGATGGAAGACAAGGGAGAAAGCAAAAATGTCATCACAGGGGCTGGCTGGCCAAATAATTTGTCTATGAATAGGAAACTACCTACAAAAACTATGGTAGAGTCATTTATTGAAATGTCATGCTAATTATATCCTATAGATATTTGTAAAATCTAGTAAATTCTGTTACTCTTTGCCACATGGGTTGTAGTAACAACAACAATCAGATAATTTGAACATCCAATTCAACTGGGGACTGGTTACATAAATTATGCCAAGTCTATAAAAATGACTCAACTATTTAAAAAATACAAGCTACTGAGAGACAGAAAAAAAAGTAAAGAAGCAAAACAGTGTATAAGAATGATGTTCAGTATATGAAGGGGAAATAAACGTATGTTTGCTAATAGGTGCTTAAAATATTTCTGGGAAGAGATATAAGAAACTGATATCACTGGTATCCTGACAGCAAAAAACTAGACGGATGTGGTAGAGTATGTCCATTAGATACATTTTGGTGTTCCTTAATTTTGAAGTACGTAAATATATTTCATCTTTTAAAAATTGAAAGGATACAATAAAAGGAAAATAAAATACATCTAAATGTCCTGATCTGGAACAAGTTCTCAAGATATACAGATGGATGAATGGATACAGATGGATGGTGGGATAGTCATAAAAGCAAGTTGAAATAGTACCTGTATTAAATCCCTTTTGAAAATATAAAAGGAAAGGAATACATGTTTGAATGCACCAAGAAGGATACACAGAAATTAATCCTACTGGCTGCCTCTGGGGAGGCGAACAGTGACTTGAGTGTGAAGACAACTGATTTTTCATCTGTACCACTTGAATTGTTCACCATATAAATCAGCAAGACTTCAAGAAATGTGTTAGTGGCCTGGCACCTCAATGCCTCATACTTTACCTGCTCCCATCTAGCTGGAAAGCAGCTTAAAATCCAGAAACTGAAATCCACAGTTCCATATACATTTAGAATCAACTCAGGAAGACCTCAAGGGCCCACCACTTGTCAGGCCCTATATGGGCTGCATCATTAAACTTAGTCTCCAGATGAGGACACTGACACACAGGGTGGCTTCACCTACTAGTTGTAAGTGGCAGAGGCTAGACTTAAACACAGATCTTCTTGAGACCTGGGTTTACTAAAGCACACCACAGTTGTTTAATACAGTACTAATTTAATACAGGCTAGTATAGTACCCAGTGACTCTTTCTACCTGGACAAACACCCACAATCTACATAGGCATGCTCATGCCAATGTGGATATTATCAATCCCTATAGCATAGCTCACAACATAACGAGAGGGAGGCACTAAAAGATCCAGTCTATTTCCTTCAGTTGCGGTTTAGGAAATTAAGGTCCAAACAGGTTTAGGAACTCACCTAAGTCCCAAGTGAATTATATGAGGGGTTCCTAGTCCTAGACTGGCACTGTTCCAACAGCCTCCCACTGGCATCTATTATCACTAGGAAAGTATAAGAGAACGAACCTAAAATCTTAAAACAGCTGGACATTGTGGCACATGCCTGTAATCTCAGAGCTTGGAAGGCTGAGGCAGGAGAACTGCTGCGAATTGGAAGCCAGCCAGAACTGCACAGTGAAACCCTATCTCAAAAAATGTCCCCCTAAAATATAGAAGCACCCTGACAACAACCCTTGTTTCCATGTTACCTTCTTGAACATTTTAGTTCCTTCCTGACACCTGCTTTTCAGATGAGGGCCAAGGCTTTTCTGTGTAGATTTGTTGATGCTTTTACTTGTTTGCTGTCTACTTCCTCTAATAGGAACATAAACTTAAGGAGGGCCAGTACCATTCCCTCCATCTATCCGGCTAATTATTTCCCAGCAATGAGCACTGTGCCTGGTCTGTAATAGTAGATCAATAAACAATAGTTCAGTGAATGAATGGTTAAATGACTGTACATCAGGCTAGTCTCTCTCAGCAGTAAAGGGTAAGTCCACAGTTGTTCTGATAGAAAAACAAGAGATAAAATGAAAATAGTTTTCACAAAGGTCCTCTCCTCACCAAAGTCCTAACTAAAGGTTCCACATTCTATTTCACTTTAGTAGAGCTTCTTGGACATAAAGTTTGAGAAAAGAATCTGACCCAGAAGGCACTAGAAACTCTACAGAGATAAAAGCAACCTGCTGAGCAGCAGCCTGATTCAATAAAAGCAGCAATGCAAGCCCAAGAAGCTACTAGATCTTGGGTCCATTATGTCCCTGCTGTGGGCCTCACTCACTTTACTTTTATTTTTTGGTGGTGTTTTTTTTTTTTTTTTTTTTTTTGAGACAGGGTCTCAATATGTAGTTCAGGCTGGCTTCAAACACACAGCAATCCTTCTGCCTCCTCTCCCAAGTACTGGGGTTACAGGTACGTACCACTGCTCCTGGCATTCACTTTAATATTTATACCCTGGACCAGATGATCTCCTTTTCTAAAACTCTTAAAACTGATTTCTAACTTCCAGCTATGATTCTGGTATCTGACAGAACTAGATACAGAAAGTACTACTAGGGGCCAGGGAGATGGATCAGTGGAATAAGCGCTTCCCTGGCAAGTGCAAGAGCCTGAGTTCAATCCCTGGTTCCGCCAAAAACAACCAAAAGAAAGAAAGTACTACTAAAGAGAATGTTCGGTCCCATTTGCTAGTGGCTGCCTGATATTGTATACATCAGGTTCTAGCATTTGAATCAAAAATTCCACCACTGTTTTTAGTGTCTTCAAATAGAGTTCAGGGTATATTTGTAGGGCAAATTAACTACCATGTTCCTGCATAGATAAAGCTCCAATTCAGTGGCACCTTCCTGGCTTTGAGCTTGGGAATCTCAGGGCATAAAGAGGCATGGATATGTTACCTACCTATACAGCTTATACTTGGAAGCAAAAGCCTTGCCACAGTGCAGCTGAGGGCAGCTATATGGTTTCTGCTCTGGATGGGGGAGGCTGTGAGGCCTCAGCTTCTCCCCATTTGGGAATGGTGTCCCAGAGATTTCACATTGGCACTTCACTTGACTCTCTGCCTCCCGGCCCCGAGGCCTGGGAACTAGTTTCCAGCCCACTTCCTCCTCCTGCTTTGCATCTTGAATCCAGGGAGGGACGTTGGTGAAAAATGTGGTCATGGCAAGGCTAATGGCGAAGGGCCATGTTATTCAGAAAGCCTCCCCATCAGCTCCACTCAGGTTCTCGCTCTGTCACAGCCTCCAATGCAGCCTTCAGAAAACAATCTCTTCACCTGAAACAAACATCAAAACATCTGCTGTTAGGGAGCCCAATAATTTGAAAACATCAGCTTTGGAGGCAGACAGATCCCATTCCAATGTCATCCCTCCCACACAGAAGCTGTGTGGCTTTCAATTACTTACCTCCCAGAGCTGTTTCTTCACTTATAAAGTAGAAATAACAATCTCCAAAAGTAAATGAGGTCATGAATATAAAGGACTCATCAGAAGGCTGGGCACATAGTAAGTGCATACTGCTAACTACTATTATTATTAGTGCCTCCCAAGGAAAATAAGATAGTCTGAGAAACTAAAAGCTCTAAACTTTCTCTTCTGACTTCACTTTTACATCTTTTCCACTTAACTTAGAAATAGCAGCTCCTCCTCCTCTTTCACTCTGCACCTCCCCCCCCCCCCACTTTCTACAATTCTTTTTCTGGAGGTGCTAAGGAGCAATAAAATGTCCAAAAGGCAACAGAGAAGACTTTACTTAGGAAATTTACAAAGAGCAGTTCTATGCCAGATGTGCTCCACAGCAGCACATCAACATCAAGAGATTCCATGGAGGTAACAGCATATTCTTAGCATGCTTTTTCCTAAACCATTACTGGCCTCACCCTAACCTCTAAACCAGATCTCTTGGTCACCTTATTCAGTCCATGTTTCATTAGCCTGTCTAACACAAGGTGCTGAAAGGTCCCTCCAACAAATTCTCAAGGCGCATGTGACTTTCTCTATTAGGAACAAGTAACAAGTATGAATGTAGGTATTTTGCCCTCTTGTGAGAGTCAACTCTGATAACTTGCATTAGAATTCAGTCTTCTCCACCTGACATTGATCCTCGGTGAGTTTCCTATCCTCTTTCACCTCCATATTCCTAAGATCTTTCTGAATAACATGGCCCATTTCCACATGGAAAGAGCAAAAGAAACTGCAACTTTAAGATGAATTAGTCATTGAATGCAGCAGCTTAACTTATGTCTAGAAATTTCTGGTTTAAACTGGCTTCACAATATCATGCTTCAATTCCTTGAGCACCTCACTTCAGTTCCGAGTGGGTTCTATATTTACTCCTAATGAACCTTTCTCATGACTCTCAGTTTTTTTTTTTTTTTTTTTTTTCCCAAAAACTGGCTTCTCAGCCCTTGCAAAGAAAGGTAGCAGAATCTTCAAGTCTGACCCTTTCCCATGTTGGCAGAAGTGGTAGTAGGAGAGGAAAAGGGCTGCAGTAATTGTGACACAACTCCTTTCCTGACACCAACTCAGAGGAAAAGCCTGGGAATTATCAGACTGACTCTCACAAGGGGGACAACAGACCCACATGCATACTTATGAGCTTACCACACATTCCCCAATTACAATGCAACCTGCTACAAGAGGGGTGTCCCTTTGAAGAAATCAGATCAAAATTTGGTCAGAAGGCTTTTCCACATGCAGAGAGCAAAAACGGTGTCTCCGGACTGTCCACAAGAATCTAGGGAGGGCTCCAAATGCATAAACCAGCTGTGGGTCATAGAATGCTTGCTCAGCTCATTAGCACCTGCTGCTTACAGTGACCATTCATCCAACAGACTAGCCATGAACGAGATGATAGTATCAGCGGGTTCATGCCCCAGAGTTTTGCTCATCATTAACAGGGGCTATATTCTGTTCAGGAACTATTCCTCTTATTGAAGAAACACTGCAATGTAACACAATAAAGATTTCCCCATCACAAGTAGCGCTTTGCCTGGAAAGATCTGCACAGAGGTGGTCTCATTTTGCATGTGCTAGGGATCAGTAGGCAACAGTAAAAACTAGACTTACTTGAGCCTTCAAGTCATCATGACATATTTCCCTGCTTCACTATAAACCTCAAAAGCCTCTGACGTCTGGCTTTCATTGTTTAAGTCCCCTCCCCCTTTACAAGGGTGGAATTACCTGTTTATAATACCAGTGATGATTACTATGCACCTTGGAAGTGGGTAGAGAGTGAGCTCAAGTGTGCCTATTTAGTTCTGAGGGACTTTCCCATACCTTCAAAGTCATATTCTATTCCCCCTTCATAGCTGAAATCACACACTTCAGCCTCTGAAAAGTTGGGAATGACAGCAAGAGGAAAGGAAATCACATCACTTTGGCTGATGCATGAAGGGAGCCTAACCTTGGAAACTCCACCCAAACTGAGAAAGAGAACAGTATGTCCCCTACCTCCCACACACACATCCACCTCCTCTATTCTCCTGAACATGCACAAACAAGACACAGCAGTTTAGCATACTGCTACTGAAAGAGTGAATAATGGGCTTCTAGGAAAGAGGCTGGCAGTAGCTAAGAAGAGCTCATGGGGTTGTACTGATGGAATCAGAGAAGGCAGGCAGGAACTGTGTGCTTAATTAATGGGGGCTACGGCTTTAAAAAGAGACACTATCCTGATCCTACTTTCCTAGTCCTTTTAAAAGGCACTACAAAGTACAGGCTGTTGGATAACCAAAGCTGGTAGGAATCCTTTTGAGGATGTAGTGTCTCTCTGTGTATGTCTCTATTTTTTTTTTTTTTCAAACTTCTCTGATCCAGAAAGATTCTTCAGTTTGTTTTACATACTCATGATTGTTCCATCTGATTTTTTCTTTGGCAAAACTGTGAAAGAATTCTGCTTCCCTTGCAAAGCTGCTCTTCTGGTCTCATACTCTACTCTACTCATAACAACTATAGAGAAGCTGACAGAACCTGTTTCCATAAAGCAAACACAATCCCTCCCAGTAACTGGTATAACTCAATATATTTTCAGCCTAAGATTCTTTCTGGCATCTGATCTGAAGGGGGAGGTAGCATGGAAAGAACCTTGGACTTGCTATCAGACTTGCCACTTACTGGCTGTGAAACCACCAGTAGGTTACTTTATTTCTGTGAACCTCACTTTCCTCAATTTCTAAAATAGAATTTTCTGAGATTCTCCTAGAGGATTAAGTGAAATAATACTCTTGAAAGTGACAGGAAATATGTGCTGAATATATGCAGTGCCCTTTCTGAAATCCAAGTTGTGCCTGCCTTTGTTCTGCATAGTGCCTGAGTAGTACTTCTTCCCCTCCCTTTTAGAATTACTTCTGAAGCCTCAAATAAGTTTCCTTCCCTCCCCAGCATCTCCCCAGAATTTGGCCTTCCCCTTTTCCCATATAACTAGCGCTCAGTACATCCCCTCTAACCAACCCCCTACTTTATCTTCCTCCAGTACACCTCCTGGGCCAGAGTTTTCTCTTGCCACTTTATTACACCTGTTACTAAGTTGCCAAAACAGGAATGCCAAATAAGAATGCTTTCCCAAAACTCTGGCTTTTGGAAGTGAAAACAGACATACTGCTCCTATCTGCTTGTTTTCTTTTGAGTGCCATGATGTCTGATGAAACTATAGTCTTATAATGTTACATCATCACTACAGAAACTGTGATCATTCTCCATTATTAGCCTGTTTCTTCAACTGTAAAGCTAAAAATACTTACCTCACAGACTTGTTGTAAGGATTATTTTAGGTATGCAGAAGGCTCAGCACTGGGCTTGGCCTGCTATAAGCGTCCAACAAAAGAGGGCTATTATCTTTGTCTTTGTATTGAGTTGCATATTTCCACCTTCTCTTGCCACACTCCAACTCCTCCCCCCAAATACTGTTGAAAGATAGCACCCCCACACCCAGAAGCATGTAAAGGGTTAATCTCTAAGTGTTCTTAACTAAAGAAACCCACAGAGGATTAACAGCTCCACTTCAGTGACTACCCTAAAATAGCTTTTATCCCTCCTGCCCAAGAGCTGCTTGGGGATCTGAAGAACTCAATTCAACACCTGCCGAGGAGGAAACACACCCAGGAACTTTCCTTAGGGTGGACAGAATCCTCCCTTAAGCAGAACCCAAAATAGCAATTTGAAAATTATAAATAGAATGGGGGGGGGGTGAAGCTCCTTGACCTGGGAACCAGAAACAATTTCAAAAGGCACACTGCTTGGCCGTGAAGCTAAAAGGAACAGGGAGAATGGGAAAAGCTGTCCCCTCCCCACACAGGCACAGAGGACACTCCAGAATGGTGGGAGAATTAAATTACAGGGACTGGCTGAAGAGTCTCAATGACTTGCATCATTCCAAGAAACATCAAACAGGATTAGCAGGGCTTGGATTTACTCTCGGGCTGCTAGTTCTTCTGTCAATGTAGATGGGCCCTTTTTGGAGTTCCTTTGATTCCTATTTCCTCTGATTCCCACTAACTCCGACTCCCAGGGAGGCCTTGAGCAAAAGGCTGCAACTCAGTATAGCCTAGAGGAAACCTGATTAGATCCCCACCCCACCCCCCAATCTGGCGGCCTCACCTTAGGACAGGACGGTTAGAAACCCAAGGCCGCCGACTCTCACAGCCTAGGCTGACAGGTGGAAAAACACACAAGCCAGGAGACAGGCCACACTTGTAGGTGAAAGCACCAACTCCCTTTGCACCACTTGCCCCCTTATCCTCCCTCCACTTTATAGGACCCATTTTCCTCAACACGTTGGGCCACAGGACCTCACCCCGCTCAATGGTGGAAAATGTTAATTTCCCACAGGAATGGAAATCGGAGTGGATTACAAGGGAGAGGAGTCAGACACTCAAGAAGAAATGGGGGGGGGGTATCCTCAGATGGAAGGAAGGACGAGAATGGGAAAGTATTAGGAGCAAGTTATTTCGGTCTCTAAGAGATACCTAAAAGAAAGAGGGTAAGTCTTAGGGTGGAAGGAGAGTTCTGGGAGTTAAACACAGAAAGTGAATTCTCTGAGTTTTAAGAGGGTCTAGAAATGGGGAGCCCGATTGGAAATGCCTAAAGTTTAGAAGTAAGGACACTAGGGAGGGAACTGCAGGTAGGGCTTATTTAGGTTCCCCAGACCCAGATATTTTAGGGAAGCCTCTCTGGGGTTATGTAAGTAAGGAAAAGTAAACGAGGCAAAGAGTGGACTATTTGGAGCAGGAAAGAGGGGGTTATGTGGGTCAGGGTAGGCGTGTCTGAGGAAGGGAGCAGGTGCAGCTTATCTGTCCCCCAGACCCTGGTCCCTGGTAAGGTCGGCAGCGAGTTATCCGAGTCTCTGGGGAGCTTGGGGGTCGACAGTGGGTACCCGCTGGGCTGCGTGCCCACGTCTCGGAAGGGAGACCAGTGGGGCTCCTTCGGGCCCCCCCAGACACAAGTATAAGGTCCCAAGGAAAGTTTTCACTACCCTAAGGCCTATCCAGGGCCCGGCTGGCTCAGAGGGGCCCCCAGTCGGGGGTGTGGGCGACCGCGCTAAGGGGCCCCAGTTGAGGGGCGCCGCGGCTCCGGGTGCCGGGCGTGCGGGCGCGGCAAGATGCCTCCCGCCCCGTTCCCCGCTGTCCCCGGGGCCCTCGCCGGCACTCACCGCGCTCGGGACCCCGCGCTGCGGGCCGGGCCGCGCTCGGGCTCCGCCAGGCCCGCTCAGGCCCCGGTAGTGGCGGCGGTCGGGCCATTGTGCGGTGCATTGTGGGAGCCGCGCGCGAGCGGGCGCTCGGGCTGTGGAGGGGGGCGGTGCCGCGACCTCTCTATGGTCCCTCCCGCCTGCCAGCTAGAGCGGCCGGGGCGACGCGCGGGCGGCGCGCGGGGGCCGCCGGGAGTAGGGTGGGGGCTCGCTCTTCTCCTTCCCTCTCCGCCCGCTTTGCTAGGCTCGTTTGGGCTCCGGAGCCGACATGGGCGCCGCCGCGTGGGCAATGCCTCCCCTACCGTTGCCTGTGTCTCTTCTGCTGCTGCTGCTTTTGCAGCTCCCCGGGCTGCCCGCGGTCTCCTGGGACCCGGCCGGTTACCTGCTCTACTGCCCCTGCATGGGTAAGGCCTCCCGAGCTCTCTGCCCGCATGGAGAAACGGAGGCCAGGAGAGAAGCCCAGAGACTATTAGACAAATCCAGGGAAGATCCCTAGAATAAGGCAGGGCCTGCTTTTCTTTTCTCTGACGTAATGGCAGGGGCACTGATGGGCCAACCTTCCATTTGATGGATGAGGAAACTAAGGCTGGGAGAGGTTCAGTGACTTGCTGGAGAAAATGGACTTGCTGCCCTGTAAATGGAAATAGGCAAAACCTGGTGTCACTGAGTCACGCTAGGTCCATGTGATTTGTTCATTCATTCAACAACTGTTTATGGAGTCTCTTTTGTGTCATACCCTGTTCTCTTTGCTGGGAATGTAGTTCTGAATAAGATAAATCCATATCCTTGTAGAGCCTTCGTTTTAGGTGGGAAAGGCAAACAATAAAAGATGCACATTCAAAGTAAGTGCACAGTTTTTGGGGTTTTTTGTTGTTGTTGGTTGGTTGGTTTTTTTTTTTTTTTTTTTTTTTTTTTTTTTTTTAATAAAACTGGGAAGAGATTGGGTAAGACAGAACCTAAAGGCCATGGAGGCGGGCGGGAGGGTGGGGGAGCAGATTTCTTGTAAAAATCATTAGTAAAGCTCCTGGCCATGGCCTTCAGGGCCTTGCATGATTTGGTTCCCTGCTGGTCCTCTCCACAGCTCCCTTCTCTCTGGCCCTCCAGTTGTAGCCAGACTTAACTCCTTTCAGTTCTTCACACTCAGGTCCATGTCTTACTCCCACTTCCTGAAACACCCTCTGCCCTTTACCTGTGCCTCACCATGTCCTAACCATTCTTCAGGTCTCAGCAAAATGTCACCAGAGAAGACTCCACTGACCTTTGCAAGCAGTCTCTTTACTATTCCCCATCACCATTTTTTCTCCTAATTGCTATCACAATTTGCCAGTACATATTTGTTTTATATATTTAGTGCTTCTCCAACCTGTGTATAAGAACCAAGACCTTCGAAACCTTGTCTTTGCTTATTCCCATATCCTAGCACCTAGCACAGATCCTGGCACAATGTGACCTGTCAATATTTAGGGAATGTATAAATGGGTGTTGTGCAGGGGATAATAAAAATAATTAGAGTCCTCCTTTCACCTGAAGCATTCATAGGCTGAGAAAATAGCCAGTATGAAAAGCCTGGAAGTGAGAAAATATGTCTGAGGAATAGAGAAGGGCTTTAGTAACCCATGTGAAAAGTAGAAGGCAGAGAAGGAGTACAGATAGGTGTCATGGAAGGCTTTCTAGTGAATGAGGCCTTGGAATGGTGCCTTTATGTGCAGGTAATTGGCGATCGAATTGGAAAGGCACTGCTGGCTCAGGCAACAGCAAGAAAAAAGATAGCAGGTAGACCAGAAATCATAGAAAGGGCTGAGAGGACAAATGTGGAGGGGCTGAGGCAAGAGGAGCAATCCTTGAATGTCAGGTCCAGGAGTCCAGACTTGCTGTTTTGCTGCCAGCTTCCCTAGTTCTCATTGATGTCCTGGCCCTCCCTGTACCTGGATCCACATTTCCTAGCCCTTTGTGTCCCACCCCACTGATACACCAGGCCTCACCTCATCCCTATTGTACCACTTCCAGGGCGTTTTGGGAACCAGGCTGATCATTTCTTGGGCTCCCTGGCATTTGCAAAACTGCTAAATCGTACCTTGGCTATACCTCCATGGATTGAGTACCAGCATCATAAGCCTCCCTTCACCAACGTGAGTACTTCTCACTGACCATGACCCTTGTCCACCCTTCTGCAATCTTGCTGCCTTCTGTTTGACCTCCGGGTCCTCTGAGCCTTCCCTACCACTCCTGAGCCTGCCCTTCTCCCTACTCAGATGTCTTCCTTGGATTAACAATGGCTAGCATTGGGGCCAGGGAGATGGCTCAGTGGAATATGCGCTCCCCTGGCAAGCACAAGGGCCTGAGTTCAATCCTGGGTTCCGCCAAAAAAAAAAAAAGAAAGAAAGAAAAAGAAACAATGGTTAGCATTTATCCAATACCTGCTATGCGCTGGGACTATTCTGAGTGCTCCATAAGGATTAGATCATTTCTTCTGCATCTCATCCTTATAAGGAAAGTGGGATTTAGAGAGGTTAGGTAACTTGCCCAGGGTCACACAGCATATGGGTAATAGAACTAGCATTCAAGCCCATGATTGTCTTAACTGCAGAGCCTGTGACTTGACCCTAAAGCCTCTGTTTACAGTGCTGATTAATCCCACCTTCTCTGCATTCCAGTAGTCAGTAGTGGATGGATGCTGTTTCCAGTTTTGGGGTTTTTTTTTTTTTGAGACGGGGTCTCAGAATATAGTTTAGGCTGGCCTCAAACTCATTGTAATCCTTCTGCCTCAGCCTCCTGAACACTGGGATTACAGATATGTGCCACAGTGCCCAGCTGTTACCAGTTTTAAAGGAGAAACTAAGGCACAGGTTGGTTAATAACATGTCCAGGCAGTGTTCTCAAACACTCCTTTTCCACCTATCAAGGGGCTCCCTTGGCATGGTATGCTCAGCATCTTCTAATTCCTAGTTTTTCTTCACACTTATCCCCAGGAATAGCAATAGGAACCTAATATTTAGTGAATTTGACTTGAAAATGTTGAGTACACGTTATACTCAGTATGTACAAAACATTGAATTTCATTCCTATGACCTTTTTTTTTTTTTGTATTTTAGGGAAGAGTCTATAGGGTGTTCAGGGTCTCACTGCGAGTTTGGACTCCTAGTGATCCTCCATTTACAGCCTCCCAAGAGCTGGGATTACAGGTGCATGACACCACACCCAGTCTCAATTGCCATCTCAGCCTGCCCCAGGGGCGGGGCCAGCATGCCAGACCAGGGATCAAACCCCCAGCCCCCATGCCTGCTTGCAGGCACTTTAATCTACTGAGCTATTTGACCTGCCCTTCCTATGGCCTTTTATTTTCTCCTTTAGATACCTGTATTTAAAGAAGCTGTTTACTTATTTATTGTTTTTTGTGGAGCTGGGGATCAAACTCAGGCCCTTGCGCTTGCCAGTCAAGCACTTATTCAACTGCGCTATCTGTCCGGCCCCTTTATTTATTGTTTTTCAGTTGTACGATCAAATCTAGGGCTGCATGCATACTGGGCAAGAGCTTTATTACTGAGCTATCACTGCAGCCCTACACAGGTTTCTAACAAGCTGAAAACCAAAATAGCTGAGACCTAACCTAGTTTGGCCACCTATTAATTCAGTAGCTTGGGCAAGGTACTCGACATTTTTGTGCCTTGAGTTTCTTCATCTCTAAAATAGCCTGATAATGATTGTTGCTACTTCATTGAAGATTGTTGCTACTGCATTGGAGATTGAATTAATGATGGTACTCATGCTTTAAATGTTATTGTATGCCACCCACTTAGAATCAGCTGAACTCCTTAATGTAAAAGAGCTAGGACACAGGAAGCCCTCCATTCCTGGGATCCGTCAATGCTCTGGTTTTGTTTACTCACTGCTAATAATTTAGTCACTGACCGTCTGGCTCCCTCTGACTTACTTGCTTTCTATCTCCTCGCTCTTCCAGCCAGTTGTCATATTCAGTCCACATTTCCTTGTTTTTCAGTGAGTTACTCAACCTGCCCCAACGGGGCTCTCCTTCCCTACTGTGACTGTTCTCACTGAGGTCGCAGGGACCTCAGAATTACCAAATCCAGGTTTATTTCGCAGTCTTCATCTCACCTGACCTCCCGGTTGCATCTGGCCCTGTGAGCCTTGCTTTTTCCTGAACATTTCCACTCCCTGGCTTCCAGCACACATCATTGCTACTGCAGCCTTCAATGCTTGGTGTTTTCCTTTTTGTGCTGTATTGGGGCGCCCTTCCCTCATTGTTTAGATGTTAGTGTGTGCCCTCTTTCTGTCTCCTTATTAGCTCTGTGGCCTCAGATGAGTCATCTGGTTTCTGTATGCCTGGGTTTCTTCTTAAGTAAACTGAGGATGGTTATATTCCTGCCTCTTAGAACTAGATGAGCAAATGCTTGTAAAGTGATGAGCACAGCACCTGGCACTGTGTCAGCACACAATAAACAGGAGCTGCTATTACCATTACTTGCTTTGCTATAAATTTCTGTTGCCTCTTGTGGCTTTCACTATTCTTCATGTCTCAAATTTATCTGTGATCCAGACTCCTCTCAGACTGTGTTTCTAATTCTCCAACCCTTGAGTGTGCATGGTTAGCCCATGGATATCTCAACTTAACAAAACCAGAACTGAATTTGGCATCTTTCCTCTCAAAACTTGTGCCAGTTTCTATAATCCCAGCCTTAGTTTCTGTCACCTCCATTCACATGGGCTCCAAACCAGGAGCCTTCTATTCGCTTCGATCCCCAACCCTTCTGTTTCATTTCTGAGCCACTACATTTCTCACTTTAGATGTGTGAAGTGCCAAAAAAATACATGTTAAATGTACACCTTTGTAAGTAAAAGTAGCCTCCTAAGTCCTCTCCCTTAACTAATCATAACAGTTCCATGTACTCTGCTACCAGAATGATCTTTTAAAAAAGGCAAAACTTGCCTGGTGTGGTAGTGGCTCACATATATAATCCCAGCCTGGGAGGCTAAGATGGGACAATCAAAAGTTCAAGCCCAGCCTGGGTAACTTAGTAAGATGCTGTCTCAAAATTAAAAAAAAAAAAAAAAAAAAAAAAAACTGGGGAAAAAGCTCAGTGCAAAGACCCTGGGTTCAATCCCCAGTATGAAGAAAGAAAGAAGGAAAGAGAGAAAGAGAGGAAAGAAAGAAAAGCAGGAGGAGAAGACAAAGGAGGGGCAAACCATGAGCTTAAAATCCTTTAGCTATGGAGCTGGGGAGGTAGCTCAGTGGCTTAAGCACCTGCCTGGCAAGTGCTAGGTCCTGAGTTGGTACCAAAAGAAAAAAAGAAAATCCTTTAGCTATAATACCCCAGTACTAATAGTTAAGGAGCCCAAAGTCTGCTTGTTAGAGCATCAGTAACCTGCATTGGAAGGGTATGGTTGTTAATTCATGTGAGGATATAATATTCTCAATTCTGCACCATCCCAAATTCACAGATGTACAATACACATGAGCATGTTAAAGTCCCTGAGAAAATCCTACTGCACTAAAGAAATCCCCTTAAAACAGAATTTCCCAGACTTCTTCAGCTTTGGAGCCCCTTTACTACAGAGCCTTTGTCCACCTGAATTGGTGGGACACACTTAGGAAACCCTGACCTGGAAGGTGAAATCAAGTCTTAGGCCATGGTGTTCTGAGAATCTTTTTTAAGATCTAAAAAAAGATTAATACAGCCATGATCCATGTACCCAGTGATCATTGTTAGTGATTTTTGCATCACCCTCTCTTATTGTTTTTTGCGGAACTGGGGCTTGAACTCAGGCCCTTGTGCTTGCCAGACAAATGCTTATTCTACTGAGTCATCTCCCCGGCGCCCTTTCTTATTGTTAATAAAAGAAAAATAGCATTACAATTGCAGTTGATAAAAGATAGCTTGTCCTGGTCCCTGTGGCTAATCCTAGTCTCTCTTGCCACTCCCAGAGCAGTCCCTCCTATAGATTTAATATATTTGTGTGACTCCTTCCACATTGTCTCCTATACTTCACTGTGGCACTGAGCATCCTTGTATTTATCTCCTGCTGCAAAGTGCACAAGCCTCAGTAGGGTATCTAGCAGTGGAAAAAAGCATTTTAATTTGCATGCTTATGCACATGCACGTGAATGTGTGTGAGTGTGGGTGTGTGGGTGTGGGTGTGTTTTGAGACAATCTCACTATATAGTTTAGGCTGAATTTACTGTGTAATCCAGGCTGGCCTTAAGCTCATAGCAGTCCTGCTTCAGCCTCCCAAGTGCTGAGATTACAGTGGTGAACCACCATGCCTGGCTATTTTAATTCCATTGATACCAAAAGTGCACCTGAAAGTGGTTGCTCCAGAGCACATACTTCTGCTTCCAACTACATATGAGAGTGTCCATTTTCCCACATCCTTACTGTTATGAGTTACCTTTTAAATTTTTGTTAGTCTCACAGATGAGAAGTGATGCTTTGTGATAATTAATTTTTTCCCTAATTACTGGTGAGGTTGCACTTTTTTCTTTTTGCACATCTTTTAGGTGTACTGGTTTTTTGGGGCCTCCTTAGCTGTGAGTTGTTCACTCTTTTGCCCATTATTTGTCTTAAGAGATCAGTAGTGATTTTTGAACACAAAAGCTACCTCTGTTTGTTCTTTGGTTTGCAGACATCTTGTCTCAGTTTGTCTCTGTCCTAACATTGGTATCAGGTTTCTTTTGGTTTTTTGTAGTATTAAACCTAGGCAAACACTCTTACCATGATCTACATACCCAGCTCTCTTTATTTTTTATTTTGAGGTGGTCTCACTGTATTGCCTATACTGGCCTTAAACTTGTGACCCTCCTCCGTCAGTCTCCTGAGTATCTATAGTTATAGTCATGCACCACCAAGCATGGCTCACTTTGCTATCTTCTAACAAAAGTTTTTCACTGTCATATGCTTTGAGCTGTGAGGGTAGTGAAGTGTATGGTTTTAATAAATGTATCTAAAACTAGGACACTGAGGAGGGCCTTCTGCCCTTCCTTTCCCTCCTTTTCCTATAGCTGCATGTGTCCTACAAGAAGTACTTCAAGCTGGAGCCCCTTCAGGCCTACCATCGGGTCATCAGCCTGGAGGACTTCATGGAGAAGCTGGCACCTACCCACTGGCCTCCTGAGAAGCGGGTGGCATACTGCTTTGAGGTAGCAGCTCAGAGAAGCCCTGATAAGAAGACGTGCCCCATGAAGGTAGGTCCTGTGGGTCTGGGAACCCTTTCAGTCTTTTCTATGAATCTCCATCTTTTCACTCCTAACCTTTCTAGTGTCTTCACATCTACTTCTGACATTTCTCAGTTGTGCCACTTTGGGTAGACTTTGCTTCTCTGAGCCTTTATTACTATACAAAATAGAGATGCCAGTCCTTCCTCCATCTTGCTCACAAACCATCACGAAGGCCAAGTATAAGCGTGCTTATGAACTGTGAACTGCCGTCTCAGTAACAATAACTAGTATTCCATAGTGTTACTGTATGTCAGGTACCACACTAAGCATATTACACGTACTAACACATTTAACTGCTCCTCCAAGAAAGTTCTAAGCACATCTCTATTGTATGTTGTGGACAGCAAGTATGGTAGAGAGATTCAAACTTTTGCCCAAGGTCATACAGCAAACATAATAGACCTAGGATTCGGCCCTAACTCCCTCACACCTTACCTCTAGTACTTTTCTGCCTCTCAATAAGTAAGTGAGAAGTTGTCACATTTTATTAGAAATTTGTGAATTTCTGGCACTTTGGGAGTAAGACCGTCCTCAAATACATCTACAGATTGGAGAGCATAGTTAAAAGAGTTGTGATATTTCAGAAAGGAGACCTGGCTTGCAGCCCCAACACTGCTATGTGACTCTATGTGTGTCTTACCTTCAGTGAGCTTTGGTTTCCATCTTGAAAATAAGGGCACTGGAGTAGTCTCTTGAAGCTCACATCCATGTTTCCAAACCCAAGGTTCATTCCTACTCAGCCCCACCAGGGCAGCAGGGTAGGTGGGACATGTGAGTGAACAGGAAACCCCCAGACACTGGTGAACATCCGCTGAAAACTAGAACAGATGCCAAGCCTCAGTCCTCAGCCCTTTCTCAGGGGCCAAGCGAAGAGGGAGTTTCAGCCAGAGTCCAAGACTGTTCTTTGCCTCCCTCCCCTGATGGCTTTCTCTTGCCCTCAGTAAGTTTTCTACAACCCTCTCTCTGCAGGAAGGAAACCCCTTTGGCCCGTTCTGGGATCAGTTTCATGTGAGTTTCAACAAGTCGGAGCTTTTTGCAGGCATTTCCTTCAGCACCTCTTATAAAGAACAATGGATTCAGAGGTATTTGGAAAGGACAGCAGTGCTGGGTTCAGGGAGGGACATGGGACTCATGGGCATCCAACACCTTCCTGAACATTTCCCCCTGTACTCCACCCTGAGGTGTGAGACCAAAGGTATAGGTGCTCTGTCTATTGAACTTGTGATCTGTTCCCTTCTCAATGCCTGACACAGTGGGACCTTGACCAGCCACAGCGTTGAGCAAGAGTTTATTGACTGATAAGGGATGTCATAAAAGAACATTGTGCAGTCACATGTGACTCGATTTCCTCCTCTAGGCGTGAGAATCACTCCCCTGTTGCCTTCCTCTTCACAACATGAAAATTGGAAGCAGCTCCGAGAGCACAGCTTCAGGTGCAGACAGAGAAGTGATGTCATCCTGATAATTGCTGGATGTGCCTTATTAAATGTGTGCCAGTAAGTCCTATTAAAGAAATAGGTTAGCAGGGCATGGGCACAGTATTTATAGAGTAGATGTCATGTGTGAGGCACAGAATTCACAGGCCAAAGGTGATATATAAAAATGAGGAAGACTTCGTGCCTGTCTTCTAGAGCTGCTGATGAATTGTAGTGGTGATAATTCCCATGATATCTTTACCATTGGTGCAGAATGAGGCAGGAGAGAGCTGGGCTCAGTCTCAGGCTAGGTTCAGAGGTAAGAGGAGCCCTTAACTGAGGTGTAGTTGCAGCTCTTGGCATTCAGCAGAAAAACAGACACAAGCTCAAGAGTAAGAGAGCCCTGAGCTCAGTGAGGCACAGTGGTGTGTGCCTGTAATTCCAGCGCATGGGAGATTGAGGCAAGAGGATCGCTGCAAGTTTGAGGCCAGCATGGGCTACATAGTGAGTTTGGGACCAGCTTGAACTACATAAAGAAACCCTGTCTTTAAAAAAAAAGAATAGGCCTGACCTGTGACCCCATTCTGCCTCTTTCTCAGGAGACTGAATAAGCCGCTCCTCCAACTCTCTGGCTCCAGTTTTGTCCTTTGTTTGATAGAAAGAGTACTTAATGGGATCTGCCTTCCAGTGCCTAGTGCTCACAGTCAATAGTAAGAGGCCACCCAAAGTTGGTGGCCACTGTTATTTATGTCCCTATTGTTAGAGTTTTTCTTTCTTTCTTCTTTTTTTTTTTTTTTTTTTTTTTTTTTTTTTGTAGTGCTGAAGATTGAACCTAAGCCTTGTGCACTTGTGCATGGTAGACAAGTGCATTACTCCTGAGCTACACCCTTAGCCCCTTTTAGTTTGAGATGGGATCTTGCTAAATTGCCCATGGTGGTCTTGAAGTTGTGATCCTCCTGCCTCAGTATCCTGAGTAGCTAGAACTATAAATGTGCACTATTGTGCCCAGCTATAAAATACCCATTTTAGTCAGGTGTATAGCGCATGCCTATATCCTAGCACTTGGGAGGCTGAGGCAGGTGAATCAATGCTAGTTCAAGACAAGTCTGGGCTACATAGTGAGTTTAAGGCCAATCTGTACTGTGTGACAAGATCTTGTCTGTAAAAAGCAAAATCAAAATTTATTTTTTTTAATAGTACTGACATTAAACCTAAGACATTTGCACTGAGCTACATCCCTAGCCCATTTTTTATCTTGAGAAAGTCTCACTAAGTCACTCACAGCCTCCTAGAGTGCTGGAATTACAGGTGTGCACTACCATACCTATCTCAAAGCTCCATTCTTAATTGCTATGGATTAAATATCTGTTCTATAACAGCTGCCCATCTGTTCTGAGGCTAGTCTTTAGAGCTAATGCATAACCCACTTAAGCTACTTAGTCCTGGCAAGTCTAATCTCTAGCATGTTGATGCAAGATAGGACTCTCCTGTAGATCACCTATTTGGTTTTCCCTATTCACTTCCAAGTGACCTGGGGCTATTGCCAGAAGACTCATGTACCTAAAAGAGAAGATTTGCCCCTGTCATCTGTGTGCCAGAACCAAAAAATACCTCCAACTCTAAAACCACCTTCAAAAATTAATTTTAGAAAGCCAGAAATAAAAGCCAAATGTGGCAGTACATATCTGTAACTCCAGCATTGGGGAGGTCAAAGCAGGATGCTCCTGAGTTCAAGGCCAGCATGTACTACATAGTGACAGGCTGGCTCAGTCAATCGATCCATCCACTCATCCATCCCCCCACCCACCTACCCACTCATTCTAGTCAGAAGAGAAGAAATGATGACACATGGATGCCTCAGTTGGGATTGTTACACACACATTTGTTCATTGCTCCTGCTCTATCTTGAATTCAGTGACTTGAAAGCACTTCTCTCACGAGAGCCTGAGGAAGCTTGTTCCTTAGCCAAATTCCTGAGAGAAAGTGACTGGCGGGGCTGATGGTCCCTGGAAGCAGTATGAGAGAGTTAGGGCCCCCAGGCATCTGCCTGCAATGTGATTTCAGAAGCACTTCTTCCTGAGTGTCAGGCACTGTTCCTTGCTGGGTATTGGAGATACAGGCAAGAATAAGGCAGGTAGGGCCCCTGCCCTGATGGAGCTCATGGTGTAATGGAAGACATGATGAGTACATTTATACCTAGCACAGTTCCAGAATGTTATTAGCTGCTCTGAAGCACATAAATCGGTGACATGTGATTGGCAGAACTGAGACCTAAAGGATGAGATAGAGCTGGCTATACCAAGAGCTGGAAGAGGTAGTTTGAGGCAGGGACATTACAAACAAAAGTCCTAACATAGCAACAGCCTTGATATGGTCAAGACATAGAAAGGCCAGTGCAGTTGGTGTGGAATGGGGGGGGGGGGAGTGAAATGTTGCTGCCATCTATTGCTACATAATAAATCATTCGAAGTGCAGTAGCATAACAATGATTTATTACTATTTCTCTACTTTTATTTGGTTGTGTGGATTGATTAGGCTTAACTTGACAACTGTTCATTTTTTATGGAGTCTGAGTTGCTCAAAGTTCAAATCTAGGCTGATCATATAATTTCTTAGAATAAGTAGCCTTTAGACTACCTACCACAGATTTGGTGAATGAATGATTTAAATTTATTCCTAATTTCATGATACCTCCAAAACAAAATGTCCTTATTTTGGGTTTCTATATATCTAGATGAAAATTGGATGCTAGAAGGAGATAAAAGGGATTTTTTTTTTTTCCTCAACAAATGATTTCCAAGAGGGCTGGCCAAATAGCTCGCTGGATTAAAGCACCTGCAAGCAGACGCAGGGGCCGAGGGTTCAATCCCCGGGCCTGCCATGCCAGCCCCGCCCCTGGGGCGCACTGAGATGGCAATTGAGACTGGACATGGAGGCATGTACCTGTAATCCCAGTTCTTGGGAGGCTGTAAACAGGCGGATCACTATGAGTCCAATCTAGGAGTGAGACCCTGAATACCCTATGGACCCTTCCCTTAAAAAAAAACAAAAACAAAAAAAAAAAAAAAGATTTCTGAGAATCCTTCTGTTTTGCTGGTTCTGTGTCTATAAATACCAGCATAGAGCTTTTTTGTTTCAATAGACATTTAGTGCTCAGTTACTGCTGGAAAACTATCACCCATCATGTTGAACCCTTCTGGTGAATAAAGATAACAGGTATTTGAGTTCATGGCTTATCTTTCTCCCAGGTTGCAGCCTCCCTGATTCCACATAAACAGGTGATAAATAATTAGCAGGGCTGAAACCAGACTGCCACTAAAGGATGAGAGGGAGCCAGCCCTGGAGAAAAAGGAAGTCCTTTGCGGCAGGGATATTGAGAGCAAGGTCTTCCTTACTCATGTCCTGGTCCTCTGCACTCAGCATGGTATTCCTTCACGGGCTCACAAACGTGCACTGGGCACGTGAGTGGATGCTGTATGTGGCGGAATCTCAGCAGCAGGACGCAGCAGTACCCAACTCCAGAGGTTCTCTGGGTGCAACAGCAGGAGCGCTAGCTTCTTAAGGACTAATCTAGGGTAGAGAGGCTGCAGACTCATACTCCCTATTTTCTTTCCAGATAGTATTCTCTGGCCTCACCAAGAGCAAATGAGCCACTCAGTTTTGGCCTCTTGCTGCTTATTGGACCAGAACCAACACTGTCCACTTGGACAGGTCTCTACTGGTACTAGCCTTGGTAGAGGGGACAGACAGTCCAAATCTGTCTAATTCTCCTAGGATCAGCTGCAGATTCTTCCCATGAGATCAGGGAGAACACAAATCCTGATCATCCACTGCCTCAGAAGATCAGAAAGCTCTTTTTTTCCTTTCAGAGTCCTTGAGGTCATCTGAAGGAGCTGAGCTTCAGGCTTAGCCCATAGGAAGTACTCAGATAATACTAACTCCTTCCTCCTTCCACCTCTGACAATGTGATCAGGTCTTTTTAGTAAGGTCCTTGAATCTCTCATTCATTTGTTTAAAAATTTTTATGATATCCAGGTGTGGTGGTGCATAGTTATAATCCCAGCACTCTGGAGACTGAGGCAGGAACATCACCCCCAAGTCCGAGGCCAGCCTGGACTGTATTGTGAGTTCAAGACCAGTCAGAAGTACATAATGAGACTATGTCTAAAAGGAAAAAAAAAATGGCAGCTACTATGTATTATTAAGACCTGTGCTGGGGCCTGGGAGTCAGGAGACTAAGCCACAGACTCAGCCCCTGAAGTCCTTATTTACTCCTTGGGAGATGAGAGTGAAGTCAGTGAGTTAAGAACATAGGTTTTACTGCAAACTACCTGCATTCAAATCTCACCTCCACTAGTTCCTGGCTTGAGACCTTCACATGTCTTTGGCCTCTTTTTACCTCCATTTTCTGCATAGTAGAGAGAATGGCAGTAACACCTAGATCACAAGGCTCTCATGGGAATCAAATGAGAATTGGAACATTGCCTGTCACCTAATAAGCTCAATAAATAATTCCCATTTGTGTACATGCAAACAGAAATTTCAGGCATCGTAAAGAGCTGTATAAGAACACCAGATCTTGCATCCTGGAATGCCCAAATCTGTAAAACAAAGCTGAATTTTTGGAAAATTGAACTGGGTTGTATATAACATGATGGTGGTGGTGATACCAGAATTTTCTGACATCTCTCTGTGTGCCTAGCACTGTTGTAAACATTTTGCCTGTGTTAATCCATTTAATCCTCTCCACAGTTCTATGAAGACATATTAATTGACTATACTAATCTTAAAACATGTTGTACACATTAAATGTGTACTTACTTTAAAAAAATAACAAACGGGGGCTGGCGAGATGGCTCAGTGGTCTAAAGCACCTACTTGGAACAAGCTTGGCAAAGCACAGGGACCGCGGTTCGATCCCCCAGC